AAAAAAAAAAAAAAAAAGACGCTGATTGTTTCTTTAAAAAGATAATTTATTTTCTGCATTTCGTTCAAGTACAAAAAAAACGGAGCCCATTGCATTTGAATATCAAATAAATAAGATGCATGGAATATGCATATGATTGTTTAAAAAATAAAATAAAAGCACCTCTTCCATTTGATCTAAGGGAACAATAACTGCATCCACACATCTTTGAACAATCCGGCACTTGAATAACAGAAAAACATCAAGTTTGTTACATGGAAAATAGCTGCCACATTTGGTTTCCATGAACCTGAGGTAAACATTTCAACAGCAGCCCGAAAACTCCTGCTTCACTAGAACACCAGCAAAAGTGCAACATAAACAGACCAAACTGTATTACAAAGTCTTTTTTATACACCCTACATCTGCATTACAAATGCCCTGCGAGTTGGTAATTCACTGCTTTAAACAACAATCAGGCCTCTCACGAGACCAAACAGCTTCATTTTAAAACCTAGTAAAAGTTCATGACATCTCCGTCTCAGCATTCTTCAATCAAAAGCTCTTCGGAGCTGTACAGTTTTCTTTTAATAACTCTAAATCCAGTGCTCAGTTTAAGTGCACGTCTAACAACCGGAGACGAAGGCGATCTGCCAGCGAAAAGCCCCTGGAGTTTCGGCCAAAAGCCCTGGGAGTCGAGCCTCAGCACGAGTGTGAGCTGGAAGGTGGGCACTAGATACGGGTCGACGGAGATCTGTCCCACAGCTTCGCAGCTGCCATCCTGCTCCACGCAAAGGTCAACGAGGGCACCGCGAAGGCCGCAGGGCTCGCTGACCGACAGGTGCACCAGCTCCTGGCCGATGTGCTCCAGGAGCGTCTCGGGAATCAGCAGCTTGGAGCAGTGCAAGACGCCGTCTTTGGCATCGGTCAGGTTAAGTGCGATGAGCTGCACCACTTCTTTGCACAACACCTCTTCGGTCGGGTCAAAAAATAAGTCTGATTCGGACAGATCGGCTAGGGATATGGAACCTGCGGGAGATGAATGCAAGCATGCATTAGACTCGAGAACTTGCGTGAGAACTTGAAACCCAAGTTGGAAAACGTATGCATGGAAGCTTGTGCAAGAAGTGCGTGTTTACCTGCATCAGATGCGTCGTCTGTGCTGCTGTGATTGTCTGAATCGGAGTCCAGGCTTTGGCTGCTGTGCAGTTTCTGCATCAGGTTGCTCCAGGACAAGCGTTTGGATGGAGCGTCAGATGTTGGAGTGGATGGGAGACTTGAGTCTTCAGATGAAAGGCTGGAAATCAGCTGCTCCTGCATTGTTGTGTCTTAGAATGACTGTAAAAGAGAAGATTTGGTTTTATTATTCATGCACCAGACAAAAGCAGCTGGTGCATTGCAAAAAACAAAACAAAAAATTGAGTATTTTTGGCTTTTCCAGTACGAATCAAGATGCATTTACAAGCAAAATGACTAGAGATATAAAGTCTTGCATTCTGAAAAATGTATTAAGTTTATGCTTTTGTATTGGAAAATTACTTTATGCCTAAAACAAGACAAGAATCTGTCAATAGGGTGAGAAAAATAAGCATAAACTCACTAAATATTGAGATTTAGTCTGAATACAATGTAAAGTCATTTTGCTTGTCATCTAAAAATGCTTGGATAATTGTTACTAGAAAACAAGACAACACTAAGCAAGAAAATCATCTCTGCGGAGTAAACAAGTCAGTCAACAAAGAACAAAGTATTGTCATTTTAACTAAAAAACACATGCATCAGCCAGTTATTTGACTGATTTTGCAGTGCTGATGTTATGAATATTGCAGCAAATAGTGATGATCAGAAATGCAGCATACTTTTGTGTTGCATTGTACTCGAAGGTTTGAAAGAACAATGAAGACAATAAAAACAGCGCTGTTTAAACACTGAAAATCCTCAAATAAGACACTTACCGATATTCAGTACTGTAGATCTTCAGGTGGGATGAATTGTCGGTAGGTTTCCGCAGATAAAATAGTCCAAACAAAGACCAGCGACCAACAAAGCCGTGTGAGAAGCGGAGTAAGTGCAGCAGCTGTTAGTATCTGCAGTGAGTTCTGCAAACACTGACGCAACCGTTTCTGCGCCTGCTTATATACCCCCTGGCCACGCCCCCTGCAAGTTTCCAGCCAATCGGCGTTTGTGTCACGTCTTTCGCGTCCCAAGTTCGCCTGGTAACACGAAGCAGCGCTGATCAATGAGAGCGTGCTATTGTCTGCGGTGGAGGAGGCGCATTTCTCACATCACCTTTTGTCTTTAACTCAGGACATGCAGTGGCGAAGCTCACGTCTGCGCATTTGTTTGTGGTTTGATTGGACGATTTAGTGATTTGCATTACGAATCGAAACAGAATTGTGAAATACTGACTCTATAGATGCGTTTTCATTGAGTACGTGCAAGAAGAGCCACACAATGACTGATGATTTCAACTAAATAAACACACTGCGAGATCCATGCAGTCAAATGCTTCCTTATCCAATAATTCATGCCTGCTGGATTTAATATAGGCTGTTGGCATGAGATACTTGCTTGATATAAGCTGATAATCATTGTACACAACTTTTGCTGTTCTTCTATTATTGTTATCATGCAACTTTTATGAGCTCATATTTGTAAGCTACTTTTAAAAATGCATGTGTCACATTGCCAAACTATTTGAAATGCTGTGACTAGTTAGTTACACTGAAAAACAAAATGGTGCCATCTAAATTAACTGGCTTTATTCAAAGACCTAAACACACTTATACCAACAAAACTAAGTTTTATGGGTTAAATAAATTAGAAATAGTTAACAATTGCAGTTTAACACTTTTAATAGCCTATAAGACCTAAAATGCAGACTTTTCCTTATATTTTAGTCTAAAATATTGATTTAAAAAGTCTTAATAACACTCTTTAAAACAAAACCAAACTAAAAGCACAAGAATTTTTGGGGAGTTCTCACGTTTGTACATTTCATGGTGGAAGACTTTACTAAATGGTGACTAGTTACACTAAAAAAAACTAAATGGTAACCTGAAAATGGAAACATCTAAAACAACTGGTTTTATTCAAATCAAAAAATAATTTAATGTCTCAGAATGGGACATCCTATATATATATATATTGTGCCAAGAAAACGGAATTTTATGGGTTAAATATAATAGTAATGCTTTTTTTTATAGTGTAAAAGACATAAATATACACTTTCCTTAGTATTTTTTAATCCTAAATAATATTTTAAAAGTCTAAGGACACATTAACCCTGTTTTCACATTTTAACCATTTAAAAGTACTAAAAGTGGTCTGAATTTGTGGGGCGTTTTGACATGAAATCCCTGAAACTAACACACTTTGGTACATTAGAAAGCTCCAACAAACTTAAAAACGTAAAAACTAGTCGTCGCTGGAAAGAGTTCATAATAAAGCAAGATGTAATTTGATTAAGACTTTGTCTTTGAGCTAAAGTGTCTGGATTTGGCCAGTAAAGTGTGAAGCGCTGCAGTCGGGGGAGGTTAAGGAAGGGTTAAAAGTTTCCTAGTTTAGAATGAAGGCCTGTTGCTGGTCATCAGAGACCGTCCCACACGGACAGGCACATTCCAGTCTTCTGTTTGCTAGTCAAGCATGTGTGTTTTCCCTCAAATCCTGCTGCAACTTATGCATATAATGCATTTGAATCCGTTCAGCCGCATGAATACACAAACAATAATGGGCCTCAGAAGAGTTTTTCTGTGTTAAATCAATGCACTCATTTATGCAGTGCTTTTAGAAAGGCCTGCTGTTTGTTCACACCTCAGCAAAACTTGGCTTGAGGACAACTGCTGAAGATCTGACCTCTGCCAAATGTGCCTTAAAGACGCTTAGTGAATGAAAAAACACCTCAGTCCTGAGGAAGTATGCAATTTTAGCATGTATTTTCACAGCAAATTTTCTGAGCATTAAATTACAGTCACCCAGTAAATACATGATTTATTTACCTTTATTTCTTATTTACGACAACTCACTATACTGACTTTACGTATCACTATATTGACTTTACGTCTCGGAAGGGTTAAAAGTTTCCTAGTTTAGAATGAAGGCCTGTTGCTGGTCAGCAGAGACCGTCCCATGCAAGCGCATTCCTGTCTTCTGTTTGCTAGCCAAGGGTGTGTTTTCCCTCAAATCCTGCTGCAGCTTTTGCATATAATGCATTTGAATCGGTTCAGCCGCGTGAATACACAAACATTAATGGGCCTCAGAATGACTTTCAGAAGAGTTTTTCTGCGTGAAGTCAGTGGTAGACTATAGCACACGTTTATGTGGTACTTTTAGAAAGGCCTGCTGTTTCTTCACACCTCAGAAGAACTGAACTGACAACTGAAGATCTGACCTCTGCCAAATGTGCCTTAAAGACGCTTAGTGAATGAAAAAACACCTCAGTCCTGAGGAAGTATGCAATTTTAGCATGTATTTTCACAGCAAATTTTCTGAGCATTAAATTACAGTCACCCAGTAAATACATGATTTATTTACCTTTATTTCTTATTTACGACAACTCACTATACTGACTTTACGTATCACTATATTGACTTTACGTCTCGTGAATCTGACTTTACGTATCACTATACTGACTTTACATCTCGCAATTCTGACTTTACGTATCACTATACTGACTTTACGTCTCGCAATTCTGACTTTACGTCGCACTATACTGACTTTACATCTCGTGATTCTGACTTTACATCTCGCGATTCTGACTTTACATCTCGCAATTCTGACTTTACGTATCACTATACTGACTTTACGTCTCGTGATTCTGACTTTACGTATCACTTTACTGACTTTACATCTCGCGATTCTGACTTTACGTATCACTATACTGACTTTACATCTCGCGATTCTGACTTTACGTATCACTTTACTGACTTTACATCTCGCGATTCTGACTTTACGTATCACTATACTGACTTTACATCTCACAATTCTGACTTTACGTCTCGCAATTCTGACTTTACGTCTCGCAATTCTGACTTTACTCGCAATTCTGACTTTACGTATCACTATACTGACTTTACGTCTCGCAATTCTGACTTTACGTCTCGCAATTCTGACTTTACGTCTCGCAATTCTGACTTTACGTCTCGCAATTCTGACTTTACGTCTCGCAATTCTGACTTTACGTCTCGCAATTCTGACTTTACGTCTCGCAATTCTGACTTTACGTCTCG